AAGCTCTAAGTGACTGAATCTTGACATTTTCACAATGAGAAGCAAACGATCCCAATTCGCCAGCCCTTGGAAAAAGTCACAAACAAATGGGAAAAGCATCAATGCTTGGAATTCCGACCAAGGCACACTAAAAAATAATAATGACAACAAAAATTTTAGAAGCTCTTTTACTGTTCATTAGTGAACAGTGTCAACCCTACATTTCCTGTCTCTGACTTCATAAAACATTTTTCAAAAAGCTGTAAAGCTCAAGTCACATGCCCTCGACTAGATAAAATATCCCAGGATTCCTGACTCTCGTGCTTTCCTGCTAATGCCAGATGAAGTTCATGCCTCCTTCCTGCTGAAGCGTAGCTCTCCTGTCATTAGGTCTCTAAAACTAATTTATTGCTTTAAAAGTAAGAATAGGAATGTGGTTAGCAATTTACCGATGAGCACAGATTGAAAGATAAACTAAGGGAGGATGTAAAATCCAGAACAGCAAGTAGAATAGCATACCAGAGAGGTATGCAGGGCCACAAACATGCCTATAGCTATCTACCCTGGATCCTGCTATTAAAATCATAAAATTTCACAAACACAGTTCTAGGGAAATACTATTAAGGATGAGAAGATGTCCATGTTGAAGGTGGTAATACAATTGAAGTGCAAACTGGTAAGAGAATTTAGCATGATTTTAAACAACCCAATTCCTTTAAAAAATTAAAAGATTTTCTACTCAAAAATGATTTTTCCCCCCTATCAAATGAATCTGAAACCAGGCCTTGTTTCAGAGTTCATTCACTAACAAGGCAGTTGTCATTAAAATGACAAATCCCAGTTTTATTCACCCCAGAAAAAGTGCTCTATTTGGGGGTTGGGGGATTTCTAAATCTCCACTGAACTATTGAAATATATAAAGTATTTATTTTAACACATAAAAAAACCCAGCAGCAACCCTTATGAAAAGAACTGTACGCAAAATGCTATGACCGGCTCGCTTTTTTAGGCAAGCAGTATTTAGATTTATTATTAGCGAGGTTCAAAGGTTAAAACTAAGAAAATGCGGGACTCTTGGAAGGAGGAGCTAGCGCAGCCAGGGATCATGTGACAGCTGCTATTGGAAAATGTTAAAAAGGCAAAGGGGGAGAACGGGGTATCTGCCTACTCTCCTTCCTTTACTGCAGCATTTGATTTTCACCAAAAATTTAAAAAGAAAGGCTAAGATGTGTACAACTCTCAGAAGAGGCCCCAAAGAAATAAATCAGCCCCAGGCTGACGGAGCACAGCTGACACCCATCACGGCTTCCTTGCAAAGACAGAAGAAGGCTGCATTTAAAAATGAAACCACATCTCTGTAGTGAATTTCAATGAAGACAGCCTAATCGCAAACCAGTTAGATCTTTTTCTGTCACTACACTTACAAAATTAAAACACTCTTTATTATAATGTGTGCCATTTTGTTTCATGATTCATTTAAATGTTTATTTATATGGAAAGAATACATTTTTCTTAAACTATCTTGTGTTGCCTTTTTTACAAAAGTATTTTCAGAACTTACAACCTTCCAGAAGGCAAGGCAAACAGAGATAATTAAATGTTGCAAATTATACATCAGTTAATTATTAAAAGCAAGTTATGTATCTTTAAAATCTTTTAAAGGGTGTTATTAGAAAAGCTGTGGCTTTAATTTCTTTATAAAGTATACATTTTCTATGTCTCCATAAATATTGTGTTAGACTCTTTAAAATGTATTCTTCCTTATGTATACAATTTTTACATTTAATTCAGAATGATGAAAAAATTTCATGATTAATGCTAATATTTTATTGACATGAGATACGAAAGTAATAGCCCATGGCTGGATTTAAAGTTGGATTTATGACATCATTTTGATTGTGCACATTAGCTGCAATTACCTGCACCACTCATTCTGGGCCACTAGATGGTGTAACAAATAGATTAAAAACAGTAACATTGCATTCCATCATCAGGACATCTAAATATAACTCTGAGAAAGACTAAACAAATTTCTAGGCATATAACAATGCTAGTGATTTCTATACTAATTCTAATTTTTAAAAATCTATCAATATATATGTGATCAGCTCTACTTTGATCTAGAAACAAACCCCTTTGAGCAATTTTTCACTCTCTCCTACTAAGGGCCTTGAGTTCTGAATTTACAGTAATGCCAAGAATTTAAATTGCTGTCATCATTCATATATTAAGTGAACTTATGATATTCACTTATGGTCTATGTTTGCCAAGTTTTTTATAAAAACTAGAAGGCCAAACCAAATAAAAATTTAGTCTCCAGAGATTCCAATCTGAACTTGCCCAAAGCAAAGTGAAAGAGTCATTCTTCACAAACATATACTCACCCTTAAAGCAACCAGACAACCAACTGCCGGAACACCCATCAAGGGCCCAGAATTAGTCCAAATTCCTTAGAGGGAGAGCTAAGTGTCTTTATTCTCACCCTCACTGAGATACCTCTGGTAGATTCCACTAGGTGCACAGCTGGGTAAATATGGACAGCCACTCAGCCGATGGTGGTGATGTGTGTAATAGCCCCTATGCCGGACCACCACTAACCTGGGCTCTATGATCAGGCTTCACAGATAAAATTGCAATCTCCACAAAACAGTTTTGGGAGCACTGGAATTACCTCCCCGGGAGTCCTAGAAGTGTAGCACACATATATGATTATCTTTTTAATTTCATATTAACAGGAAATTGTTTCGAAGGCAATGGGAGGACTGAGACCTGCCCATGGAGATGCTGCCTGCTTCACAGCCCCTCCTGGAGGCTGGTACTCCGAGGCTTTCAGCAACAAAGACAACCTGGTTCAGAGAGACGACTTTAAGAACAGACCCACCTGGGCTTCATGAGTTTCACATTTTACCATCTATAATAATAAAAGTGTAATATGCTAATTAGACTGGACATCCTTCCGGACGAAGCCGACGCTGCAAGGGAAGCCTGGGTCCCAGGTGCCAGAGGGAAGCTGGTGCCGGCAGCCGGGGGAAGGAAGGCCTACTCTTGCACGAATTTCGTGCATTGGGCCTCTAGTAGGAATATAATGGGCATCTGCCATTTGCTCCTCTAATATGAGATTCCAAGTGAAAGCTAATCAACCTTTTAATTTTATACACAATTGCAGCTAAATTAGGTGAAAGAAGCTGTGAGCTAAGTAAATTTGAGGAATGATGCCAAGGAAGTTTGTCAAGAACTGAAACTAGCCTGGCTGGTGTGGCTCAGTGGTTGAGTGGTGACCTATGAACCAGGAGGTCACGTTTCGATTCTCAGTCAGGACACATGACCAGGTTGCGAGCTCGATCGCCAGTGTGGGGCATGCAGGAGGCAGCCAATCAATGATTCTCTCTCATCATTGATGTTTCTATCTCTCTCTCCCTCTCCTTTCCTCTCTGAAATCAATAAAAATATACATTTTTTAAAAAGAACTGAAACTAATCAGTTTGGTTCCTATATTAAGTAATTAAGTAAAAAAAATGTTGTCTTAACTCAGGCAATCAAGTGCTTAATAAATCAAGTGCTTAATAATAGGCTGAAGGCGAGAGTTGTGATATGGCCATCTAGAGCTTCCCAGAACTGAAAGTGTCTTTCAAAAATATATATTAAAAAATCTCACACTAATGAGCAGAGGACTGAGAAATAAAATATAACTCTTAGCTTTGGGCACCTCAACCAGCAATTATCACAGTTGGCTATATGTATTTACTCACCAAATATTTCCCCCAATATGTGGTCATATCGTATTTCTTTTGCATTCCTGGTGCTTAGAATGGGACCTGGCCCATTATAGGTACTTTATGATGGTTTCAAATTAAACACAAGGATGAAAAGAAGGGGGAGAGAGAGGGAGGGAGGAGGAAAAAAGAGAGAGGGATGGAAGAAGGAAGGAAGATACAAGCACAAGATGAAAACAGCAGAGAGCCCTGGTCTGGAAGTCAAGATGCCTTGTGAAGTACAGGCTCTGGCACTCTCTTGACCCAAGTCCCTTACCTGTAAAAACCACAAACAGACGATCCCTAAGATCCCTCGCTCAATCGTTCTATGACTCTCTGCTATGGTTTTATGCACCAGCCAACAAATGTTAAAATTCTCTTCTGTATCTAACAATCATAGCATCTTTCTGAAAAGTCCAAAATATTTCTCTAATCAAGAAACCACATTAAATTCCCAGACTTATGTATTATACAACATTTTCATACTTATAGTTTCCATGTGTCATCTGTTTTTAAATCGCCTCATAAAGGAGACTGAAGGGGGTATTTTTTAACCCCCACATAACAGTAGGGAAAGTTAAAATGTGAAGATTAAGTGGGCTCACTCATGTCATCAGAAGTATAATCACAAAAAGAAACTTTTAGATCGAAGGACAGAAAGATTTTGAATAACCCAGTATCTTAAAGAGGCACAGACATGATTTTTCATATATAAAGATGAGTTCATGCAATGTACTTTGCTATTATGTTTACAAATACAATTATGTTAAACTTAAAAAAAGAATTACCTAAACCCGTCTGAGTAGAAAAGCATTGCTCTTAAATTGTCGGAACACCCCATGTATTTACATAAAGATGAAAAGCTTATTCTATAAACACGGTGTTTCCAGTAGTGAATGGCAGGCAAAATCAGAATAAGCACACAGAAGAATAAAGAGGAAGAGGAAAGAAAAACATAATAAATAACCTAATACCTTACAATGTTAACTTGCACATAAGTATATTGTTTCTGGAGAAGGCAGTGTGGATGGGAGCCAAAGGCTCAAGTGATAGGTAAACACACTGCTAAGTTGAATCCTGTTATCTGATTGTGTTTAAATTTTGATTATATTTCACTTGACAAAATAATTAATTATTGTGAACTCCCGATTGTTAACAAGGACCTAGAAGAATTCCGATTGGCACTTTCCCCAGGGTTGCGATCCAAATGCCTAACAACCTAGTTGTGTAGTCACCCTTTACAGCTGTCATTCTCGGGTGTCTTCTTACCTTGCTCAGAATGTAAATCACATCCCCACGTTTAAATGACAACTCGTCAGAAAGAGCACCTGTGCAGTCCCACAAACCCTGGTAAAAGTTAGCGTAATCGGTGCTTTTGTCTCCTAGGAAGAAGAGAGAGAAAACATGAGTTAGGGCTTTCGTGCAGTGGGCCCTCATTCAAAAATGAACCAAGAGAAAGGAAGGGGCCACCCCAAACCACCACAATATTCTAAAAAATTCACTCCTCAGAGAAAATTTTTATTCCCTCCATACAAGAATCCTACTTCTACTGTCATCTAATTAAGGTCCATTTTCCAAAAGACCTGATGTTGAATGTCTGTTTTTTCTCTTTCTCTAAATTTGTTGTTCCCCTAAAACCTGTAATTGCACTGTTTTCTCATCATACCAGCACCTAAAAGTGACTTCCCACTTGTTTTACAGACGAACCTCAGCCCCCTGGCAACATGCTTTGAAGATGAGACTCACACTGCACAGTGAGCAACAGCCACGAGACGTGAGAGACACACTGTGTGCGAAGTAACCGCCTTTACGGAATCGGGGCACTTCAGACAAACGATGATAACAAAGGGGCTCAGGTGCAAATCTAACCCAAACTAGGGGACGCTTCTTTAAAAATCCTAAAACCGAAAGCTAGTTTCAGGAAAAGGATAAAGTGGAAATAATACGAAGGGTAACTCCAGCTCTTCTCTTTGGGGACTTGTGGACCCAAAGCCTCTCAAAGTTATTTTACAAATATTTTAGCAACTTAGACATTGTCAGTCCTGAAGCTGCATTTCTCAAGATGCCTGTCAGCCCCAGTTTAGGACATTAGGCTCTGAATAAACATGCAACATACACTGGAGTTATCAGCTCATCCTTCTAACAGCATAAGCACAATGGATGTGATGTGCTCAAGCTGCCATACAGACCATTAACTGATTGATTATTTAGCGCTCTCCGCTCTGTAATACCACAATAAACCGGGTAATAAATGCTTTGTCACTTATACAATGTGGTGCTCCTGAAACACAGCACAGAGTGAAGTACACTGGGTGCTTTTGTTACACAGAGAACTGCTTCCTGTTTTTAATTTCATGATAATTGAGTTTTGATGAGTTAACGCAAAAAGAATGCAAGCAAAGAGAATGCAAGTGATATCACTAAGATGTCCGTGTATTCACTAACCAGGCAGAACACATACGGGCTGACAACTTCCATCATTGCGTGTCATCTTTGAATTCTGAGGGGATAACTGTGGAGACACATGCTGGATCGGGGTTGTCATCCTAGTTTTGTTAGATGGCTCTCAAACAGCAGGCTCGTTGGCAATTCCAACACAACTAGGCACATTAGCATGTCATTAGGGCGTTCGTCTTATGACACATGGTTTGTGATATGTACAAAGTGCTATGTTCATTCGAAATTTTTAAAATTCTCTTTAATAGAGGAAATATTTTTTAAAGCCAAGGAGAAAATCTGAACAACAGGGGGTCTGAATATTAGGAAGTAAGATGCTACTTTGCAAATATACTTTTAAGAAAATAAACAAGGACTAGAATACACAACCTAGTAAAATCCTCCTATGAATTTTTTTCTCTCGTTTTCTAAGAATTAAAACAAAGAGAGGGAGGGGAGGAGGGAAATGGGAGGGGGGAGACAGCGAGGGGGTGAGGGAGGGCGGCAGAGAGAGACGAACCTTGTTGACCTCTCCGCTCTAGCATTTGAGCACCCATCACCGCTACCAGCAGGGATGTGCACAAGCCTGGGAATCCAACCAAGAACTAACAATGCTGTGTCCGCCTTCATTACATTCCCCCCTAAAGCGTATCTGAAGTAAATTCCATAAATGGACACTAGAGGGCACTCTGGCTGGACAGATCACTCCAAACATTGTCAATTTTTTTTTTTAGAAAAAAATTACTTAATAATAAAGTGACTGATTTCCTTTAAAAACCACTTATTTAGACAAATAGAGATTTAGAAGCTGAAACATCCTAGTCAGATTAAATCAACTGCTAAATGGGTCAAATGTTGCGCCCCATGCAGTCCGTCAGTGTCAGTTTAAAAGTCCAGGAATTAGAGCAGAGAGAGGATGACATCATTTCACATGCATGGCCCTCCCCCACCGTCACTGGCCAGGAGGTAAGAGGATCTAAATAGTTGAGGCTCCCGTGTGTTCCCCATGCCGCTCAGCCTTAGGCTTGATCCAAAAAGGCTGAAGAAACGAAACTTGGGCTAAAACCTAGAGTAGAAGTGGTGGCTTGGCCAGGGCATCCCAGCAGCTTCCCCAGCTGTCTAGCCCGCTGCCTGCTCTTCCCTTTTTCAGACTCTCTCACAACAGTTTCTCATTCGATAGATTTTCTAAAGGTGGGGGGAAGGAAGGAAGGAAGAAGAAAAGTATATGATCATTTCTAATGCATAATAATCCTTATCACTTTGGGGTCTCTCTTCCTCTCGATGCGCTTGGTGAAACTCCCATTAACACTAATGGGAGTTGCAGGAGCACAGGAGGGGCACGGAGCCCCCCACCGCGTGCAAGATGCATCTCTCCCTAGATGTGCATCAAGAGCATTTCATTAACTCTCACTGCCGTGGAGGCGGCGGAGCTAGCGGCGTGGCGGTGCCGGGAAAAGATGCGTTTTCCTCTGCGCTCTCCCTAACCTTGATGATGATGTTACCCAAAGACCAGCCTCATTTCTGGGTCCCATATGTGAGCTCTGTTGAGGAATAATAAGCTGTTTGTGTCACGTGCTGCCTGGGCCTACACTTTACCATTCTCTCTCTGTCAGCTGGACGAGCTATACAGCAGCATCGCCGCTGGGGAGAACCAGGCAGCGGATGCTGCTTCGCCTTGGTCTCCTCTAGAAAGTAATGCTCAAATCCTTGGTATCAATTCTAGACATAAAATTAGGGCGAGTCTTGTTCCTTGCTGCTCTGGTTTACTTTTTAAAATTTTCATTGTGGCTAAACAGACACCAAGAAATTGTGCCTAGACGTGGCCTCAGAAGCACCGTCGGCTCACCGAAGGAACCCTGCTCACCTACACTCGGAAAATGCATCCAGGGAAAGTATGTTTTTTAAAAAACAACAGGACATGAGGTGAAGCATCATGTCATAAACCACAGAGAGGCATACATTCAGAATACAATCTGTTTAGCTGTCTTTACCGCACGGATTGGTTTTTCTATTCCATCCACATCATGATCTATGTTTTCAAAATTACAAAAAAAAAAAATCATCTCATTATTTATGCTTCTTGTCCTGAGAGGCATGAATGGTTAAAAAAGAAAGAAAAAAAAATCTAAATTAGCCAGCCTGTGACAGATTTAAACAATATACTTGCTCCTGCTTTTTCAAACATACAAAAACAGGTCATTGGGTATTAAGAGCAAAATTATTATGAAACTTATAAACTAAACGTTGGAGATACTTTTGCGAAAAATGAAAAGGTTTTAAATGTGATGACAATGGATGAAATATACAATAATAAAATAATGTAGAATCTCTCCTTTAGTGGTATAAGTTAAAAAACAACTTTAGAAAGGTAAGTATATTGTTCAAAAAATGGAATCTTTAGGATATGTATAATAACATAAGCAAGATACAGAAGCATGAACATGAAAGAACTCGTAAGGAATTCGTGATTAATTTTGTTTTCACTTATGTATTTTACATTAGTCTGATTTTTTTTTTTAGTAAAATCAGTCAATGTGAGAAATATATAACATTCTTGAGCAAGGTTAGAAGTTCACATCATGCGGTGCGCAACAAGATAGTAATACCCTTGTCAGCTCGCTGCCCTGCACGGCAAACAAACTTCTAGGGTTACCTCCTAGCCAGCCTCGGAGAGCAAAGGTCGCCGCAACGCGAAAGCATGGAAACTGTTGCTTGAAAAGAATTTCATGTCACCAGAGATAAGAATTATTGCAGTGCTAATTTATGGCTATTGCACGAGGAACTGGACCTACTGAATGCATTCCTCGGAGGAAAGCCTGATTTTTTCCCCTTCCCTCAGAGGCAAACATTTGGGAGATAGTTACTACCAAAGGCTTTTGAAAAATACAAGTGCTTTAAGCCAAAATACATATCTTTGTGGAAAGAATAGCTATATGTGTCTTCATTCTACACCTGCATTGAAATCTTTAAAAAGGAAGCGACATGCTTTCGGCGGAGGCCTTGTGACACATAATAAAACATATCTCCTTAAATGACTATTGAGCGTGGTCCTCAAGGCTTCACCCCGCCTGTGTTTTATGGCTGCGCTTCACGGGGCCTGAGTGCTAACAGCTCCTGACTCCGGCCTCACTTCCTTTCTGACAAAAGCAAACCCCAACCTTCCGCAGCAACCTGCTCCTGCCTTCCTGCCGGGGCCGGAAACCAGGCCGCGTTTCCTTTCCACATGTCGCCGTCGGAAGGACTCTGGAGAGCGACTTCCTGAACACACACTCCTTGTCCACCCTGCCTGTGACAGCTTGAAAGAGTGATGTATGGACGGATCAGAGAGGGGAAGGTGACCCCAACTACAGCTCTCACCGGACATGGGACGATAGGGCAGGCCTTGCCCCGCTGACATGTGGCTATGAAGAGGCTGAAGTCCTGATAAGACGCTGTCCTTCTCTTCTGTCGTGTAAAATAATTGCTGGCTTATCAAAACTCACCTCATGCTTGCGCCACAGACAGGGTTTATCTCCCGCTGTTTGGAAATAACAAACAGCGAGAGCAGCTGCCCGTATCATGTGGTTCTCTGCACAGCACGTGTGGTTATTTTTCCAGCCTCGGTCATAATTAGTGCTCGGGGCGGCGTGGCAAGTGGACATGGATAAGGGGACCCTCCTTCCCAGACCTGTCGGCCACCGGTGTCCTTTTGCGGTTTTTAAGCTGCTGTCACTGGACCCTGGCATTTCTTACCCAGTTCGTTCGCTTTCCGTGTTAATCATATGCAATGAAGATATGCATGGCCAACATTTAAACAGGCTGCAGATCAATTAGCGGTCTTAAGTTTATCTGATTTTTATCAAAGAAGACAGAGCTGCGGGTCGATTGTCAGAGCCTGTGTCAAGTTGACCTTTTCAGAGATGTCTACATTGCCAGTCCCCTGGGCAACTTGTTGTCCCCTGTTAGTCTCTGAATGGCAGGAGTCTGTTCTGCTCAGGCACAAAGTATACACAGATGTCTATATTACATTCTTATAGGTTTGACAGCAACTGCATGTTGTATCTATAAGCTGTCCTTTAGCAGTGACACTTCCTCAATGATGATAAGCTAATTTATGCAACTAAATCTCCTTTGTGCAGAAATGAAAGCTAATTGAGTCATTACAAAGTAATTCAGGAAGGAATACCTTGTATAAATTGGCTTACTTTATAAATCCTTCTCAAGTGGTTTTCACGCATCCTAAATGGGGCTAAGCAGCTTCTCAGCCATAAGATATCCAGACCGAAGGAGCCCAGCTTGGGGAGCTGTGTGAACGCCTTCTGAGCGGCGAGAAAGTGAACACAACCAAGACAAGTGTCCTCGGGAGGCTCCGAGGCCAGTACCTGTGCTGTGATGACCGCTGTCCTGACTCATCTTCCTCTGCTCCTCCACTTTCCCGGGCGCAGCTTCCTCTTCCTCGTCTGTAAATAAACAACATAAACGGCTCACTGAAGGGTTTTCTTGGGATAACAGTACAGGACTCACCTCATCTGAAGAGCAAAATTCAAAGTTTATAACACAAAGATTCCTTTTCAAAGAAGGAACTCATTCCATATTCACATTCCTTTTTCAATAACCTAAAGCTGAACCAATAAACCTCCAAATAGCAACCTTACCGGTTGGCTTAATAGAATATGAGATCTGTACCAGTGCTTCATTGTTTTAAATACTTAGAGAAACTCATCTGGGATGATCTCAGATCCAGAAAAGCCCTGACATCCAGTAAAATGATACCCAGTACTACACAGACCACATTAACCTGGGGCAGGAGAACCACAGATAAAACCATGGTCCCTAAAACATCATCGTAGCAGAGAGAAATGTGTGATGAAAAAATCATTTATTGAGTATCACAGACTTCATAGGTCTTCTCACTGGATCTCAGAGAACAACACTAGAAGGATCCTTACCCTTCAAGGCCCCCATTATACCGGGAACCTGCTATGTGTCATACACCACAGCACAGGAAAGATTTCATAGATAAATACTTCTTCAATCCTCATTTTTCAGGTGACTAAACTGAGACTGGAAAAGGTAAAGCAATTTCTAATTTTTGTTATTCAAACTTAGGATTGTGATCATAAAGTCCATGTTCCTTATCGTGCACATATCAAGCGCCTTACCTATTCCCACACCCTCCCACCACATGTTCTCCAGCTACAGGAAGGATTATGGTAAGATGAAACGAGAACAGTTTTTAACAGAGTCAACAGACTATTTAATGCCTTTATATCAAAGAAGCGTTTATTACATTACCACTTTCCTCACCTAAGGATTTATATACAACTTAGAAATATTTAAGGCAGGGCATATGAATGAAATGGCATGCAAAAGAAAAAGTGGGTTCAAAAAGAATCATAACTTCACAGAAAAAAAATCCAAAACTTTAAAGAAAAATATGCAAAATATAGAAATATAACTATTATGACTATTAAATAATTCAACCAATAACTCTTCCTTGAGAATTAACCACATGCAAGAGACAGATTCTGCCAGGGAGGCAAGGACGTAGGGAGCATCTGCCTTGAGGAAGCTGACAACCTAGAGCAGTGGTTCTCAACCTTCTGGCCCTTTAAATACAGTTCCTCATGTTGTGACCCAACCATAAAATTATTTTCGTTGCTACTTCATAACTGTAATGTTGCTACTGTTATGAATCGTAATGTAAATATCTGATATGCAGGATGGTCTTAGGCGACCCCTGTGAAAGGGTCGTTCGACCGCCAAAGGGGTCGCGATCCACAGGTTGAGAACCGCTGGCCTAGAGGGTCAGAAGACAGAATCTAAAGGGAAATGGGATGGGGCACACAACCTGACATGTGAGGCCCAGGCATGAAGGAGGGCAGAGAAGAAAGCGCCCCACGGGGGAATACCATGAAGGCTCTGAGCCAGGGGTCCTCAAACTTTTTAAACAGGGGGCCAGTTCACTGTCCCTCAGACCGTTGGAGGGCCGGACTATAGTTTAAAAAAAAAAACTATGAACAAACTCCTATGCACACTGCACATATCTTATTTTGAAGTAAAAAAACAAAACGGGAACAAATACAATATTTGTATTTGCATGTGGCCCGCGGGCCGTAGTTTGAGGACCCCTGAGTGAAGGAGAGAATCTGAATGAGAGACGGGAAGGAGAAAATTTCCAGACAGAAAGGCATAAACAAAAGAACAAGACACCATCATATTCATTTTAGCCGAAGAACATGGCACTCAGAGGGAGAGGGTCGGATGGGAGACAATGCGGGGGGTTTGGGCCAATCGTTGAAGGGCCGTGAACATTCTGCTGTGGACTCAGACTTGTACTTGGTGGGCGATATGAGCCCCAGAAGATTTTCGAGCAAAGAAAGGACAGGACTGAAGTTATGCTTCAGGAATGGTCATCTGATCCCACTGTGTTAGATTCTGGAGGAGGGGGTGGGGGAGAGACGCTCGGAGTCTGGCTGAGGGGAAGGAAGTGCTGAACTGAAGGGGCAGAGGAAATGGAGAGGAGATGGTCGTGAGGGGTAAAGGAACTGGGATTGATAAACTTTGAGCCTGACTGGAGGTGGAGGGCTAAAGGGGGAAAGAGCAACCGAGGATGGCTGAGGTTTTGAGCTGAGTGAACTGAGAAATGGAACATCATTACTAAAAGGAGAATAGCTGAGCTAAGCTATTTTGCTGAGGAAACACAAGGAGTTGTGTTTCTGACATGAGAGATTGAATATGCTGGTGGGGTGACCCAGAGGAAATGGCCAGGGGCAACTGGAGAGGTGGGTAGAAGGGTCAGGATGGCACATGCAAATGTAGAAGATGCATGCAAATTTTAAAGTGGTGATTAATAAAAATCAACATTTAAATCAAGGTTGGGAACTGCTGTGCTTATAAGACAACTACAACTGTTTCGAATTTTTGTAACTCAGTTCAAACAAAATAATAAAAGCTCCAACATAAGGAACAGCTGGAAATATTTGGTACCTTATACATAGTAAGTTGAACTTAACATTGGCAATTTAATATTGTTCAGTCAAGTAATAATCTATACTAATAAAAGGGTAATATGCAAATTGGTCACAAAGCCCTCACGGTCATGATCAGATATGCTAATTAGTCATGGCCAGTATGCAAATTGACTATCACTCCAACACACAAGATGGCCGCCCCCATGTGGCCATAAGATGACCTACAGGGGAGGGCAGTTGTGGGCGATCAGGCCAGCAGGGGAGGGCAGTTAGGGGTGACCAGGCCAGCAGGGGTGGGCAGTTGGAGGCAACCAGGCCTGCAGGGGAGGGCAGTTGGGGGCAACCAGGCCTGCAGGGGAGGGCAGTTAGGGGTGACTGGGCCATCAGGGGAGGGCAGTTGGGGGCAAGTGGGCTGGCAGGGAGGGCAGTTGGGGGAGATCAGGCCGGTAGGGGAACATTTAGGCATCGATCAGGATGGCAGGGGAGTGGTTAGGGGGTGATCAGGCTGGCAGGCAGAAGTGGTTAGGGGCATTCAGGCAGGCAGGCAGGCAGGCAGGCAGGCAGGTGAGCAGTTGGGAGCCAGCAGTCCCAGATTGGAGAGGGTGCAGGCTGGGCTGAGGGACAACTCCCCCAGTGCATGAATTTCGTGCACTGAGCCTCTAGTTAATACATAAAAGACCTAATAAAATGTTTCTCCAACAACAGTTCTCACTTTTGCCAAACCTCAAGGACTAGTTACCACACTGGCCCTTAGGGTGTTAGGAATGTTTTCATCAAATTTTAAGGATATTAGGGACAGTTAGAGTCATTTAGCCTAACCTACTCATTTTACAGGTAGTGAATATTTTTGAAGGTGAAAGAAAACTTTCCTTACTTTTCACACTTGCTCTTCCCCCAGCACTCCCTCTCTTCCAATTTGGTCACAAATGCAATAAGTAAGAAGTAAATTCAAAAATAGTTAAGAGCATTTGTCTTCAATCAAAAGCCATAACCCCCTCAATATTGGAAGCAGCATTCTTGGCTCTTAAGGAGAGACTATGGGATTTAGACTCACCACCCAAAGTCAGTGTTGAGAGATCACAGAAAGTATTTATAATAAATAAATGAAAACCTGGCTCTTAGCAAAGTTAACAAGTTGGAATTTATTACTATGAATGTATTATTATTTCAGTAAAATTTAAGTGCCTATCATATACACAGTGTATTTTTAAATTATCAGAATGATATTAAAAATATTTACTTAAATATCAATATTTACTATAAGTATGTAAATTGAAATCAATGTGAGATGCTTAGTAAGCAATATTTTAGAGGATCAGATGCTCATTAAAAACACTTCATTTTGAACCTAGGACTGATATTTTTAGGTCAAAGCCTTCTGTGTTTCATACAGTAATTTTTTTCTTCACAATGTTTAAACAACTCATTTCATCTTGATCTAACAATAAAACAGCTTCCATGTAAACGACAACAAAATCTAATCTGGTGTGTGTGTGTGTGTGTGTGTGTGTGTGTGTGTGTTTTAATCTTAGGGATAAAAAAACTCAGATTGAATCTTGAATAGAATATGATACAAGGGAGATGTCCAATAAATACTGAGTGAACAGATGGATTCAAAAATCATGAAAATAAATTCTACTATATGCATTTATTAACAGAACACCACTCAAAAATATATATAAGGACAAGTGACTAAAATTCTAGATAACAATCACCTTCACAACATATTAGAAATAGAAACACATGTTTTATTTAGGTTTATTATTCAACATATTTTGTTTTGGTGTTGAGGCATGATGTCATTATACAATACTAATTAATACTTCAAATAGTCAACATTTGTGGGTTAATATATTCCATTCAACACTTTAATAACAGTAAACAAAAACAGCTCAGCTATGCAGTAAAATCCATCAAACCACACAGATGGTTATAAGGTTTTCATTATGTGGTTTCCATAGCAATCATATTGCAAATCTGGAAGCTTCTTGCAAATAAGCAGCTTGTATTTACATGCCTCTCAGCTGCAGCACAAACTCTTCAACATGTGAAGTTATTATTCCAATCACACATTGTTAGAGGGATCAGCAGGAGATTTTATCAGAGAAGATGAAAATAATAAAGTGAAATTGCAGAATATAATTCAAATATAGTTCTGCGTTTACTAAACTAATCAATGAGGATCAGAAATGTTCTGTAGTCACCGAAAGGTTTTAACATTAAATCCTGTCAAAAATATGGAACCTCCAGGAGCAAGCAGACCCAACAGCATCCAAAGCTTGAACTCTACTCTCACTCGTCTTTTTAACACACACTGAGCCTTCTTTCTGAGTGGAGTGAAGAGAGGAAGAAAGCAGAGAAATGAGTTTTCCCAAATCTTTTTAGGATGATGACCATTTGAGGAAATGCTTACTATGGGAAAAGTCAAGACCTTTTTTTTTCTCTTGCTAGATTAATCAATTGAATTTACAAATTGATCCAGTTCC